CTGAAACTACAACTACAACCAGCACAACCACAACAACCACTACAACTACACCCACATCCACGGAATCAACAACAACTGAAACACCAACTACAACCACTACAACTACCACAACTACTACAACCACACCCACAACCACAGAATCAACGACAACAACTGAAACACCAACTACAACCACTACTACTACAACTACCACAACAACCACCACAACTACACCCACAACCACAGAATCAACAACAACTGAAACTACAACTGAAACACCAACTACAACCACTACAACTACCACAACTACTACAACCACACCCACAACCACAGAATCAACGACAACAACTGAAACTACAACTGAAACACCAACTACAACCACTACAACTACCACAACTACTACAACCACACCCACAACCACAGAATCAACGACAGTAACTCAGTCTCCAACTACATCATTACCATCTACAACCGCTCCAACATCATCTGAAACACCAACTCCAACTCCTCCTTGTAAATATTGTTGTGATCATCAGGTAAGCTGTATCACTTAAAACTCCTTTTGTTTCTTGCTAATATTTACATACTTAGTTTTATGGCATTTTTAATGTTGATTTACTGCAACTTCTTTGAGCATCCCATCACTGATTCTCCCTTTTTTCCTTGTTTACAGGAAAATGAGATGTTTTATTTTTGCAACTGCACCATGGCCAGATGTATTGGACAAAATCAAATTGAAATAGTGCCATATGAATGTCCAACTATAAAGCCCATAACTTGTGCCAATGGGAAAGATCCTGTTCTTGTATATGATTATTATCATTGCTGCCAACAATATGAATGTGACTGTAAGTTTTCTATTTAATTTTTTTTTTAGAAATGTATAAACATTATGATCACTGACGGATTAAGTTATTCTCGTCATCCAAGAAAATATCCATGTACTTAAAAGTATAAATAGCAACAATTAATCTATAACAGCCCTGGGCTTCAAATGTATGTGATTTATAGAGAGCTTCTATTGTAAGAATGAAAATATTTATTGCCAATGTGCTTTTTGTAGATGCTTCACTTGTGTGAAGTGGTGTGGGTTATTTTAATGGCAAATGAAGAACCTAATTGTACTCATGCAGGGAATCATATTATTGAGACTGATTAGTGGATAGTTTTTGTTTTTATTAACTATTTACATTTTTCTGTCACTGTAGGTGAGTGCGAAGGCTGGGGAGATCCTCACTACATTACCTTTGATGGCAAATACTACAGTTACCAAGGAAACTGTACCTATTATCTGATGAAAGAAATTAGACCAACGCATAACTTAGAAATTTTAATTGAAAATGTTCATTGTGACCCTACTGAAGATGTTTCCTGTCCTCGAGCTTTAATTGTAAATTATGGAGCACAAAGTATCAAACTGATCAACTTTAATCTTGGTGGACGACCTGATTTGAAGGTAAGATGAGATGACCCTCTTTGAACACTATCTTTTAAAGAATATATTAAAGTATACATATAAAAATATAAAGTACATATTCCTAACACATCATCAGTTTTTCTCAGAAGGTAGATTTCCAGTATTGAAGTAAAATTTACACCACTCAACTAGCCAAGTGATTAACACATACAGAAAAACCAAAACAAATTACACCTTAAAATTAAGTTAGTGGTGAAAACTTGGAATGAACATTGAACTATATATATTAAATATTTTGTGAAAAAGCCTGTTAGTAATGAGAATTTTAAGATGTGTGCATAGAGGCCATTGCGACTGAGTTTATTGTTTATTATTACGGATGTTTTTGAAGTTCTCTGTCAATCTACCTACGTTCTTAGAAATAGAAATCTTATGAGGGGCACCTGGCTTATTACTTCCAGGTCATGGCTCCAGCAACGCTCCTTTGAAGTTTATAAAACTATAACAACTGTGTGTTTTGTAATTCTAAGATTTTTTCGTGAAGGTTTTTTTGCTTAGGTAATAGGTAATATCTGTGCAAAAGTCTAGAAATATCAGTTTTTCCTTTTAAATCTAAATTAGCTTGGGACAAACTCAGTGTCTGCAAGCCATCAGTTGATATTAAACAAGCTTTATTTCCACATAACGAGAGGAATGCTTACCACATAATGGCAGATTTCAGCTGGTTTCTTGGCTTTCTATGGTTTTTTCCATTTATTTCTTTCACATGTTCAATATGTAGCCCATGTTCACTTCATTATGTATAAATTAATTTATAGACTAATTTATTTTTGACTTTATTGTATGCATATACAAATTACATGCCATTATCACCAACATCAAAATACTAGCTTCATACTTGATATTTTTACTGTCTGTTCTTCTGCTTTTTTCAGGCATTTAAAAATGAAGATGAAGATAATCTAAGGCTCCCTTATTTTAAAGATGGTGTTAAGGTGGTGAGCACTGGCGTTAACTTGGTGTTAGAGATCCTTCGTCTAAATGTGGTTGTTAAATTTGGAAGAACTGGCTTTAGTATCAACCTTCCATATGAGTACTTCGGAGGAAACACACAGGGTCATTGTGGTAAGAATGTCCTCTCAGAATGCATCTGTACACAGATGTACATATAGCATCTGTGTACATCTTTCAGTTTGAATGGAGAAAATGACACTAGAACATTTTTGATAGGAACTTGCTCCAACAATCAAGATGATGACTGCAGATTGCGTAACGGTACAGTAGTAGAAAATTGCGGTGTGATGGCCGACGACTGGCTTCTGGAGAAAGATAAGGGAAAAACTGGCTGCCTACCTAAACGTACTCCTCCACAGAAAACATGCAAACACAATCCAGATTCTGTTTGTGAACTGCTTAAGGACTCCTCAGGGTACTTTGCTAATCGTCTTGATCTGTATCATTTTCTTCAGCTTTTTAAAAAGTCTTTTTTCTAATGAATTTTCATTTTCCGCTTCAGTGTCTTCGCTGCATGCCATTCCCAGATCTCTCCAGACAATTTCTACACAGGATGCGTTTTTGATGGCTGCTATGTTCACAACCGGGCAGTGGAGTGCACAAGTTTGGAGACTTATGCTGCTGCTTGCGCTGAGATTGGAATTTGTATTGACTGGAGGAACCACACTAAAATATGTGGTATAGTACTTTTTTTTCTCAGCATAGAAAAGTCAAAATAATGATAAAAACAATAAAAATACATTGTATTTAATTATGATTTCCTAGTACTGGAATTTGAAACTTATAAATCTGTACTTTACATTTTGGTTTTTGAGTTGTTTTTTTATTTTTACTTTTCTTTTTGTTTCATTTTTACTAACAGCCAGCAACTGCCCACTGGGCAAAATTTATAGATCTTGTGGACCTGCAGATCAACCAAGCTGTGAGGACAAGTGAGTTCAAAAAAAAGTTTTTTTTTTGTTTTGTTTTAGCTCAAAATAAATTAGCACATGGGGAAAAAAAGCACAGGAAACGTAAAAAACAGTTAAAGCAACTCAGTTATATCACATTGATCACCTTTAAGTCACAATTAGTTTGAGACAAACTCAGGTGATCTTTATTAAAGGATGAAATACTGTCACATTCAGCAAATTAGAATATTAATGAAAGTTCCTTTAACTCAGGAACTCAATTTACTCAGCAAAACACATTATATAGATTTATTATTATTATTAAAAATAATTGTAGTTTCCATTATTTTCAACTGGGAGATGCTAAGAATATTTCACAGATATAAACTGTTGGTTCAGTTCAGTTTCACCTCCTACAATCTGCAAGATCACTGGATTTCACTGTTATTATGTCCCAAAAATATTTATTTATAATTAATAAAATTTAAAGTATGATTGTATTTTCTCTTGGTATGAAATGCTTAGATCCTTGTTTTATGCAAATACAACATAAATAAATTTAATTATAAAACACATGACATTTAAATCTTGCAGTCCTAACGATCCAGTCGTGAACTACACTACTGAAGGCTGCTTTTGTCCTGAAGGACAGAAACTGTTCAGCAAAGAATCAAATATATGCGTTAAAAGCTGTGGTAAGTATGTAAGAACGATTTTGAACATCTGTTTCATTATTAAGATTCAACTTCTTTGGTTCCTTTTGTTTGTTTCTCTAGCTGTATTTGAGCTTGGGGATTGTGTCTTTCCTTGAGACATTTTAGGACGCATAAGAAATGAACATGAAGTAATAGTGTTTGCTATTTCTGTGAAATTATAAATCAAAACCAGTTTCTTTAAGTTCATAGATACATGTTACTTTTTTTATTTTTCTATTTTTTAAGGTTTGTACTGTTTAGAGATTTTATAGAGTTCAAAATAGTTAAGCTATTTGGCAACAGCATTAGCATACAGAGACAAAGAGACTCACATAAATATGTTTGTGCTGATTAAACAGGGTGTCTTGATCCGACTGGGACGTCCCGTGAGGTGAGCCAAACTTGATTTTCATCTACTGTTCTTTACTTGTATTTTTAGATATTTAAGCCAACACTACGTTTTCTTTTTTGTTTTAGTTCAACGAGACATTTGAATACAATTGTCAGACCTGTGTGTGTAATGAGTCCACCAAAACTGTGACCTGTAAGCCTAAGACGTGCCCACCCACTGCTTTACCAAGATGCATGGGTCCAGGATATGTTCTTGTCAATAAAACTGATCCATCAGATCAATGCTGCAATGTCCATGTTTGCCGTAAGACACAGCAATAATGCCGATTACTGTTTGCTGCTTGTTAGTGTTTAAATTAGTAATAAACTGAGTTCTTCTTCTTCTTTGTGTAAACAGAATGTCAGAGCCACGCTTGTCCGGACATCAACATGAACTGTGACGTTGGCTTTATGCCAAACATCAGTGTTCCAGAGGGAAAATGTTGTCCAGAACGTACATGTGGTGAGCCTACAAAATCAGTTTGTACCTACATGAGGTCAAATGGATAAAGAATCACTTTAGTGATCTTTGTTTTTACATAAATGTCAACTTTCTTTCCTAGAACCCAAAAGAGTCTGTGTGCTAAATTCTGTTGAATATCCGGTAAGGGATATATGAAATGTATTGAGGAGATAAATATGTACCTTTTAGTATTTATTCATTGTTAGACTAAAACTTGCAGGCTAACAATGAATTTATGTGGATTTCTCAGCCTGGTTCTTCCGTTCCTGGCCAAAAATGTGAGAACTGCTTCTGTTCCTCAAACTCTTCATCTGGTGGTCTGATGGAAATCAAGTGTGAGAAGCAGCAGTGTGAAAAAACATGCAGAAAGGTGAGGAAGACAATGTAATGTTTATGACAATGCATGTATGCATTCATGCATACATATATACTCAACAGGCCCTTTATTTTTCAAAGGGCCAGTTGGGATGAAAAAAATTGCAAATATTAAGGTTTTACTGCAATCAGGCATTTTGAATGTTATTGCATCGACATATATGGCTAGCTCAATCAGAGCATGACAACATCTTTACGACACTCCAGTTGCAATTAAGTAAACACTGAAACTGTTGTACATCATTCCAGAATAAATTGGGAAAAAATAAAACACATTCTGCACTAACAGTACAGATTAAACGGAAAGTTATACAGCAGCGATTAAAATCTGCAGGATCAAATGTCTTAAGATTCTCTACTATACCAGTTGAAAATCTAGTTTTTATATCTGTTTGGCTACTTATGTTGTAAAATCTTGTTTTATTTACATTAAAAATGTTAGCAGTAAGATTGCTATTACATAAGTGGGGCCTGCCCAATGCAACGCATGGCAGCGCCTTTTGTAATGCGGCTCGAAACGCTGCTTGCTTCCTCACAAAATATATAGCGAAACATGCAGCTCAATCTCAAGAATGGACTTGTTACTTCTGTTGGTGTTTCAACTTACCATGGTGACGTAACAGGCAAAGAACAATGGCTTTACATTACAATGGAAATTAGAAAATAAAATAATAAATTATATCAGAAATATTCACCACTTTTGTGCTAATTTATTTTACAGGATCCAAATAGAATATTTGGGGTGATAACAGAAATGTTGAATGGGTGTGAATAAATTTATAATTAACTGTTTTTTTATTATTATTATTTTACCATGTAGATGCATTGAATTTGCCTTTTTTTCTTTCAGGGATTTGAATATAAGAAAACCAACTCAGATGATTGCTGTGGGACGTGTGTGCAGACCCAGTGTGTGTTCGTTGTTAATGGCACTGAGACACTCTTAAAGGTAAACTGAATCATCTCTGTGAGTTTGCATAAATGTCTGTAAGTATAAAACAACTAAGTATGTGGTTATCTGTGTGGTAATTTCCAGGAGGGAGAAACCTGGTCACCAACTGAAAATAAGTGTGAAAGTAAGACTTGTGTTAAGAATGGAGAGACTTTTACAGTCACCAACAAACACATCATTTGCCCAGCATTCCAAGAGAGCAACTGCAAGAATGTAAGTGCCTGGTTTAATGCATAAACCCACACTGGATCATATACAGAGAAAAATTCAAACTTTTTGTTGTTGTTTTTTTTATCATTATTATTCAGGACACAATTCAGACTGCAGCAAATGGTTGCTGCAAAATCTGTGAGTATGATTATTTTCTTTTCTTTAGAGTCAAAGACACTGAAACAAGCATAAAAACTGACATTTTTCTTTCCTCTAACATTTTAAAAGGTGTGGAAAAAGAGAAGGCCTGCAGACTGTTTAACCGGACAACTCCTATCAACCACAATGGCTGTCAGACTGAGTTGAACATGCCGTCATGTGAAGGATCATGTGACACTTTCACCAAGTAAGTATGAGATTACTTTTAGTTTTGTCTTCCTCTGGAAAGTCATCAAATCGTTTATTAAGCAGTTGTGATGCATTGAATGTGCTGATTTTTTCTGTCCTTGTTCTTTTCAGGTACTCTGAAGCAGCAGCTGCTATGGAGCATTCCTGCTCCTGCTGTAAGGAGAGACGCGCCAGCAACCGCACTGTTACCCTGGCGTGTGAAGATGGTACGCACGTCCAGTTCACTTATGTGCATGTGGAGGAGTGCGGCTGTGGGCACACAGAGTGCACCACACCTGCTGCACTGCATGTTCGCAGAAAGCGACGCTTCACACTGCAGTGACACAGTCCTCTGTCCTCACATGTGGGATGCAGATGTATCTCCAAGAATCATTTAATTAATCATTAAATCTCTAATAAGGTATTGCATACTTTGTGGAGTTCATTTATCAGTTGATTGAATAAAAGCAAGCATCTAAGTTTCAGTCTCCTGTCTTTAATTATTTTGTTTGTGGCAGTCATTGTCATGAACTGTGGTTGTTGGTGGTGGTGAGAGAGACGCCGGGGAACCCAGGTAGTCATGAAGAAAAGATGATTTAATGACAAACCAGGAGAACAACTCAAAATCACTGGCAGCACAGGAACAGAACACAGACGTGAGACGAGGGTGTGATACGACGAGGATCCGACGAAGAACACAGACACAGGTGGGTTTAAATACACAGGGAAGGTAATCAGGTAACGGGATACAGCTGGGAGCAATCAACAGGGAAGACAGATTCACAGGGGAAACTGGACTAACAGAAAAACTACACAGAAAACACAGATCCTAACAGTCATCACATATTCTTTACCTGCTTCTATATATTAATGATAATGAAATGTTTGAATATTTAAAATTTCAGAATAATAACTTCAGTTGTTCTGTTGTTTTGTGGTAGTTGAACAATAAAAAATATCTTTATGTATATAAAAAATTGACCATTCACAGCCCTGGAATTGAGGAAAGTGAAACCGATAGGAAAATATATAAGAATTTTGGCAATATTGTCATTTTTCTAATATTGATGCAACCAATTAAGGAATTGGGTAGTATCTTTAATCTATAAAAGCTAACAGACATTATGACCTTATAGATTATTCATCTCTGATGCTCTGTTGCATGACAATAAATCTGAATCTGAAAAGTTGTTGGCATTATTATCTCAGCTGATGCGTCCCTGTAAGTCACAACAGCCAAACAGAAAGGCAAGCGCTCTAGGACAAAAAATGGAAGAAAACAGATGGTTAAAATAATTTCAAATATTGCAAATGTGACAGGAATTCATTTTTAATGCATTTCAGATGTGAAAAGGTTTTTGAAATCTCTCATTACTAAAGTTTCACAATTCAAATAAAGGTTTCACAAATCACAAACTAGGTTGGAAATATTCTGCTATTGGAGTGGAATTATCTACTCCAGATTTGAAATGTCAATGTGTGCTTTTTAAAGCAGAAAATATGATTTCTTAACACTTATATGTTAAGTATAATTTCCATAATTAGTTACTTATTTACAGTCATATGTTAAGCATAATTTACATGATTATTCTTCTTCACCGAATTTAATTTCATTGTGCATAATTACAAAAAGGTGACGTGAAACATAATTAAGTGCAAAGAATAATTTATTTTGGAGAGAGCAAGTCTTTTAGGATCTAGTTTTGTCTTTTGCCACTATCTTGCCTTCTGCTGATTTCGGTTGCTTGGTTACGAACAGCCGTTGCCGTTATTCAGCTATTGTATTGTTTAATAAAAATGTGAACAGAAAATATTCAGCAAATACGTCTGAGCCTCCGTTATAATCGCCCTTTAGCCATTTCCCAAATCAGAAGTTACAATCGGAAGCCAACTGCAGCTTCGACCCAGACAGTCAGTTAGGAACGCCGCCACAGCTAGAGGACCGGGCTGACGTTTCCTTCTGTGCAGTCCCCTTCTGTTTAGGATCCTGTTCAGAATGCGCATGTTATTAATGGTTTTAACCACAGTGCAAAGCAGCATCCATATTTCTCCATGCTTCAGACCAAACATGAAGGGAAACTTGACCAATTCCTGTTAGCCACTGTACTAGCCTAGCATAATTCCGCCACTTCCTGGACATAAAATTATCACGTTTATACAAGATAAGTATCACGTTTATACAAGATAAGTATCACGTTTATACAAGATAAGTATCACGTTATAACGTTACAGCGCTTGAAAAAAAATTATTGCGTGATAGCAATACGCTTTCCGTATTTATGATGCTGATGTATTTGCAAATAGACATCACTCAAAGACAAAGAAACCTGAATAAACACAAGACCAAACATTCTTCTCAAGGATTTTGTAATAGGCAGAATGATCCTAGCTGCTCAGGTCCTAAACCAATAGGGTCCATACTATCACTCTCACCTGAAACGATGAGATATTTTTTTACAACATATTTAACAAAATGCACACCTTCAAAAACGCTCAATTTTTCTGTCATCGATCCGTATCATACTGTCCCCAAAGTCTTGTGGACCATGAAGATGTTTTTTGGCAAATAAGAGAACTGACTTTGTGTTTGTTTTGGTCAGCAGCGCTTCTCACCAATTAACTTCCCCATGGATCCTGCTTGATGAGTCTTATTGTTGACTCAGGAACACTGATCTTAACTAAGACAAGGACTGCTCAGTAACATCCTGCAGAGCCGATGCTCTCTTAAGACATATCAACCTAGAAGGTTTTATCTGTTTGTGGAAAATGACTGCCTCTGGTTTGTTGAGGTTTCTGTTTTAGCAATTGCTATGTAACTTTTTGCAGAATAATATTTCTTTGTTTAACCCTCCTGCAATCACAGCTGGATGCTTGGAAACAGTGAGACAGATGTCACAGTCTGACAGTGGGGAAATGACGGGGTTGTCCTGTCAACCCGTCAGATCTCAAAATCACAGAAACAATAAAAAGAAACTCGGAAAAGTGCCCACGGGGTCAGTTTGACCCCTTCAAAATGGCAAGGGGAGCAATGCACAGGCTTGAAAAATCAAACAGGGTTGGTTATGGTTAAAAGGGAAAATGCACATTAATAAACATAAATATTTAAATTCATCGCAATGTGCAAAACTTAGATGAGACAAATGTTCTACAATACCAGGTAGGTTTATGGTTTAGAACAAGGTCTATGTGCTGTTCTTCAGTTCTGTCTGTACAGAAATCCAAGTATGAACTGCTTGAAGTAACTTTTCCCACAAGAGATCCAACAGCATCCTGTAGTTACGGTCCTCCTGTATAAGCTTTGAGAATGTTTAATAAATTATTCAGTGGGTAGAACGGACAAACCAAACATGATCTTATTTATATTCTCCAGAAGTGTCTCATATATTTGCCATTCTAATCTTCTGTCATGCCTGATGTAGAAAATACAGTACAGCAATTATGAAACTATCCACATCATTTCAAATCATCAATGGTATTGCCTTTACCAATTGGCCACCCAAAAAGGCGGTTCTAAACCTGCACAGAAATCTAAATGTATAAATAAAGCCTTGACCGTCAGCCTCACTTCATCTGCTTTGGGACCCACAGTGGCAACCATGAAGTGGATGGTGGTGTGGTTGTGTTTCTTCAGTTTTTCTGTTGCAATTCAAGCCAAACAGGGTAAGACTTACAAGTTTTATATTTTTTAAAAAACTGTTTTAAGGACCGCAAAAGTTGATATTCTGTTTCTACAACAGTTTGTTCAAGATGCTTGATGTTAAATTTATTTTTCTAAAAAAATAAAATAACATATCCTGTTTTTAACTTATGTAGGGGAAATATATCAATAATTTATATTTTTCTTTTGAATTTTCTCTTTCTAGTTCACAACCATGTCAACAACATCTGCAGCACTTGGGGCACGCAGCACTTTAAGACTTTTGATGGTGATGTGTACCAGTTTCCTGGCTTGTGTGAGTACAACCTGGCCAAAGACTGCCATGGTTCTGACCCCAAGTTCTCAGTGAACGTTAAAAGGGAGGAAAATGATGGAAACATTGCAATAAGTTACATATCAATAACTATCAATGAAAATGGATTCTACCTAAACAAGACCCATGTCACTGAAAACAGCATACTGTAAGTATAAAAAGAAAAATTGCATATTTTTATAAAATAGAAAAAAGTTAAAATATTTTTTGTTCTTTTTTTTTTATCAGAGTCAGCCTTCCACATTACAGTAGAGGCGTAAAGGTGGAAGAAAGTGCATTTTACATCAGTTTTAAAGCTTCAAGAGTTGGCATCACTGTCATGTGGAACCGTGAAGATGCAGTCATGGTAAGAATTACCATAAAGAGCCTTACACCAGATTTTGATGTTATTGTCAACATTAACGTCAACATCACAGAGAGAAAACTGTTGAAAGAATCAGAGTCAAAGGGATGTTGAAGGTAAAACAAACAAAAAAAAAGGTCCTGTACTCAAGATTTCCTCCCCCCTCAAAGTACCTTGACAGCTCGTACCACATTTATTTTGCGTACTATGCAATAGTACTATAAATTACTATTGGGGTTGGGGGTTGTCAACTTTAATACAGATTTTTGCTTATTTTAATGACTTTTAAATATTCTCATTATTGTTCTGTATCGCATTGTGGCCTTATTTTGATAAAATGCATTATTATTATGAGCAGTGATAGCAGTATCATTCCTCCAGTATAATGACTTTCTACTTCTACTTTCTTTCATCCCCACTCCACTCTCTGACACTGTCCATAACGGCAGTCAATAGCACACACAACATCTCCATTAAAAGAGGGTGGTGTGCATCACTTGTGCTCCTGGAATCAATTCCAAGCATGCAGCTTTTCTGCTCACACAATTTTTGTTTATTTTGAACCCTTGTAGATATAACTCTATGGCAAAATATTTTCTCAGTCATTAACTGACTAAAGAAAATGGAAGAGCACAAGCTAAAACTTGCAGAAAGCTGAGTATAACATCTGCATGAAACAAATTCAATGTGATCATTTACTATGCACAGAATACACATTGCTGTAGAATAACATGAGTGTAATTTTAAGTAACAGAAAAAAATACGACTGTCCTTTTCTTCCATTGTGTGTATTTCAGGTGGAAGTTTCAAATAACTATAGAAACAAAACCTGTGGACTTTGCGGAGACTTCAATGGTGTTCCTGTCTATGATGAGTTCATTGTCAATGGTATGTTGTTCAACTAATACAATTTATGATGCAGATGATAATCTATCATCTCCACCATCTGTTAATGATCACATTCAGGTCTTATATTATTGACTTACTTTATTGCCATGATCAGGTTTTAAAATCAGCCCCATTGAGTTTGGAAACCGCCATAAAATCCATCTACCAAATGATGACTGCAAAGACCCGCATGAAGACAAAGATGAGTCATGGAAGTCTGGAAATGTGTCAAGTTCTTGCAAGAATTTTGTGAGTTTTCCGGCAAGTTTATTTGGTAGAAGACGTGGTGTTTTGCTTACAAGTAAAAAATTAATATTGTTCCTGTTTTCTGTTGATTGTTTTTCTCTTTTTTTATTTAACCAAATCAGCAAACCATCTGTGAAAAAGCATTTCTCTCCAAGTCCTGGAGTTCATGCAATGAACAAATTGACCCTGAAGCTTACATTCATGCATGTGCCATAGACATGTGTGCCTGTAACAACAGCACCAATGACTCCTGTGTCTGCAGCACAATGTCTGAGTTTTCTCGTCAGTGTTCCCACGCAGGAGGACAGCCACCTAACTGGAGATCTCAATTATGTGGTATGTTTTATTTTTATTTATTTATTGTGAAAATGTTTTTTTAAACAGCTGAATAACCAACTTAATAATTCGATGAAGAAAACATCGGACATATTTATGTAAAAAAATAAATCATACAAATAGAGAATAATGTTTAGTTTTTCATACACTAGTTTTTAAGTGGTTAAAATGTTTGGGGGGAAAAGCATTTCTTAATATATAGTCATGAAAATACAAACTGGTATGCATGTTTTAAGGTGTTTAGAGAATTTCTATTTATTTTTTGCATTGTGTAATGTTGAGATGCTTTACCAAGGCCGAGAAAGAGTCAAATGCTGTTAGACAAAGGGCCCTTAGTAAAGAGTTACATTTTTGATTCTGTTAGACACCAAGGTCCATTTCTCACGAGAAACAGAAACTTATCAGGCCACAGAGACATGGTGTGATTTCAGGGAGTGTCTTCAGTTCNTTTACAGGGAAGACAAACACAGAGCCACACGCTGGGCAACGCGTTGAGATGTAAACGGCGCATATAATTGTTTGTTTGATAAATCATTCTCACTGCTCCAGAACGCGACTCTGAATTCACTACAACTTATTCCTGCGGTTCACATTGAGCTGTGTAACCAGAGCTAACGCGGCGGGTTTTAAACTCTTACCCAGAGTTTCTCCAAAGGATCAGGAGCAGAGGCAAAGCGCAGAGGCGCCAGCTGTGTGATTGGTCCACGCTGTCGGGTTTAAATGCATAAACTATAAACCTATTTATTATAAACCTATCCTTTAGGAATAAATCTGCTCTGCTACTGAAATGCTAAGAGCAAAAGAGACACTTACAGCCTGGCTTTAAAAACAAACAGACAAAAAAAAACAATTTTTTTTGTTTTGTTTTGTTTTCTTTTAATTTCCCTAGAAACGTGAACAAACAAAGCTTAGCCTGGCAGCAGGGCTAGTAAAGAATGGCGGGCCGCCAGGCTTTTAATAGACTGGGGGAAACCCTGATCTGAATCTGAAAAGTTGTTGGTATTATTATCTCAGCTGATGCATCCCTGTAAGCCACAACAGCCAAACAGAAAGGCAAGCGCTCTAGGACAAAAAAAAATGGAAGAAAACAGATGGTTAAAATAATATCAAATATTGCAAATGTGACAGGAATTCATTTCTAATGCATTTCAGATGCGAAAAGGTTTTTAAATCTTTCATTACTCAAGTTTCACAATTCAAATAAAGGTTTCACAAATCACAAACTAGGTTAGAAATATTCTGCTTTTGGCGTGGAATTATCTACTCCAGATATACTCCAAACATACATGTTGATGTATGTTTGTTTTTAAAGTAGAAAAGATGATTTCTCAACAATTATATGTTAAGTATAATTTCCATGATTAGTTACTTACTTACAGTCATATGTTAAGCATAATTTAGATAATTATTCTTCACAGAATTTAATTTAACTGTGCATAATTGCAAAAAGGTGACGTGAAACAATTAATGCAAAGAATTATTTATTTTGGAGAGAGGAAGTCTTTTATTTTGAAGAATACTTAACTATTGTATTGTTCAATAAAAAAAATGGAAAACAGAAAATGTTCAGCAAATACATCTGAGCCTCCGTTATAATCGCCCTTTAGCCATTTCCTGAATCAGAAGCTACAATCAGAAGCCAACTGCAGCTTCGATCCAGATGGTCAGTTAGGAACGCCGCCACAGCTAGAGGATCGGGCTGACGTTTACTTCTGTGCAGTCCCCTTCTGCTTAGGATCCTGTTCAGAATGCGCATGTTATTAATGGTTTTATCCTCAGTGCAAAGCAGCATCCGTATCTCTACATGTTTCAGACCAAACATGAAGGGAAACTTGACCAATTCCTGTTAGCCACTGTACTAGCCTAGCATAATTCCGCCACTTCCTGGACACAAGATAAGTATCACGTTTATGCATGATAGCTATCACGTTTTATAAAGATAACTATCACGTTTAAATAAGATGCATATCACATTATAACATTATAGCGCTTGAAATTTTTTTCTTGCTGATGTATTTGCAAATAGAAGTCACTCAAAGACAAATACATCTGAATAAACACAAGACCAAACATTCTTCTCAAGAATTTTGTAATAGGTTTTCTTAATTCAGCTGCTCAGGTCCTACCAATAGGGTCCATACTATCACTCTCACCTGAAACGATGAGATATTTTTTACAACATATTTAACAAAAAGCACACCTTCAAAAATGCTCAATTTTTCTGTCATCGATCCATATCATATCCCCCCCCCCAAGTCTTGTGGACCATGAAGATGTTTTTTGCAAATAAGAGAACTGACTTTGTGTTTGTTTTGGTCAGCAGTGCTTCTCACCAATTAACTTCCCCATGGATCCTGCTTGATGAGTCTTATTGTTGACTCATGAACACTGATCTTAACTAAGGCAATGACTGCTCAGTAACATCCTGCAGAGCCAATGCTGTCTTATGGCAATTTTGGTAAGACATATCAACTTAGAAGGTTTTATCTGTTTGTGGAAATTGACCCTGAAGCTTACATTCATGCATGTGCCATAGACATGTGTGCCTGTAACAACAGCACCAATGACTCCTGTGTCTGCAGCACAATGTCTGAGTTTTCTCGTCAGTGTTCCCACGCAGGAGGACAGCCACCTAACTGGAGATCTCAATTATGTGGTATGTTTTATTTTTATTTATTTATTGTGAAAATGTTTTTTTAAACAGCTGAATAACCAACTTAATAATTCGATGAAGAAAACATCGGACATATTTATGTAAAAAAATAAATCATACAAATAGAGAATAATGTTTAGTTTTTCATACACTAGTTTTTAAGTGGTTAAAATGTTTGGGGGGAAAAGCATTTCTTAATATATAGTCATGAAAATACAAACTGGTATGCATGTTTTAAGGTGTTTAGAGAATTTCTATTTATTTTTTGCATTGTGTAATGTTGAGATGCTTTACCAAGGCCGAGAAAGAGTCACGCGCTGTTAGACAAAGGGCCCA